CACATATGTTATATTTTTTCCAAGTAGCCTTCTTTTAAGATAAATAGAAATTGGGGTTACCGGGTTCGTTGTGGAAATATTTCGTGTCGAAATCTAAGATTTTGCAGGCCATCTTGAATTGCGAGAGACTTTTTTCTGCCAATCTACGACTTTTTAGAGCATTTTGAACACTTTTTCGCCTCATCAATTCTTTAGCAGTAGTAAATCTCCCATTTTTTGAACGTGAAGACATTTTGCATACAAGTAGAAGTTCAGAAAAGTACGTACAAAACCACACAAACACATAACAAGAGCGGTCGCCATCTTTGTTTTGCTTGATGCAAATTTCGTGACAACTTCCGGTTTTGGCGTGCGCAGAAAGCGTGCGCAGTAGCAATGCCCTCGAACGTCCTTAAGCTCTAGATAGAAAAAAATAAAATGTTCTTTACAGGCTGCTCCATTGTGTCAATAGAAGAGTTTTAGTTCCCTTTTTCATCTGCCCAATGAGTCTCCAAATTTTAAAAAAAGTTAAAGGGAACAAACGTACCCCCAGCATTTGTCAGAGCAATCTCTTTGCAACAAAACTTGTTTAATTCACCAGAGGAACACTCTGCAAAGCTATACCAAGCAACTTGAAACGCGAGGCCTCATGGGCTATTAGCTCATAGTCCACTAAATGCTCTTAGTTTTGTTTATTTTCAGATAAATTGGCAAATGACTGTAAAGTATCTGAAGCTATTACCAATTCTACTTCTGAAATCTTGGATAAGATGGCACTGAAGCTTGATTCAGCTTCAGCACCAACATGTACGTGGATAGACTTTGGTCTTGAGCTGGGGATAACACGTGACAAACTGAAGGAATTTGAGATGTACACTAACTACAATCCAACAGAAGCACTATTCAGATATCTATATACAGCAAGTGCAAAACCTCTTAAAGCAAGTCTGATTGTTGGTTACTTTGAGAAGATGGATAGGCAGGATATCCTTGAAGTGATCAAACAAACAATACTTTCATCAGGTAATAATTATTTGAGATCTAAAGTACTGAAGCACAAGTTCAGTCATATCATATATTTTTTCTTTTTTTTCTTCTTTTTTTTCAATTCTTTTTTTTTTGGTTTTAATTATGTATTTCTTGATAAATCCATTGAATTGCAATATGGCAAAAACTGAAATATTAAACATCACAATCAGAATACAGCTTTCTCAATTGGATTCCTTAATGTCTGAGATATAACTATCTCATTGCAAACTTTGAAATGATTCATATTGTAGAAACGTTTTTCATACCAGTAGATATAAATGTTTTCTTTACAAAATAAATAATTCACTACATACTTCTATCAATATAATTTTAAGCTTCAAAAGTCACGGGTTATCTTAAAATGAAATTACAGATATTGACTCCAAGGATGCTAAAGACATTTTCAAACATGGATCAAAACTTCTTGAGACTACTGCAAGGAAGTTAAATGAAGATTCTCCAGGTGTGGGAGGCTGGAAGGGGCTTGCAAGTCATCTGATAGCTGACCAGTACATTGATGATCCAGACATCATATCAAAGCTGGAGCCACCACAACGGCATGAAATTCACAGTCCAACTAAGAAAATCATTGAATGGCTTTCAGCCAATAAACTCGATGTCAGCATTGGTGAATTAATTGCAAAATGTGAAGAAGTTGGCCGTAATGATGCTGTGAAAATTCTGATTGGACACTATTCTAGAGCAGTTGGTAAGAAATGAAGACATGATTGCATATAGACAACTTTCACAAGTGCCTTACTATCGATTTTATATTATTGGCAATGTTAAGGAAACATTCAGCACTGTCATATTGAAGAAATATCAGAAATAAGTAATTGTGCAAAATTTTCAAGATATTAGCCATTTCGACGTTGCGCAGGGGACTGGGCACTAATCAAAGAAATATTGATCTAATCACGAAACAAACCCCACCAGATGAAAGGACACTCAAAAATTAGTAAATATA